GGATGATTTTTCCTGCATGTTGTATCCATTGCAATGCACTATTCAATTTGCTGCATGCTTGCTAATTGTATTTTATGGCTTCTTATATTTCTGACTGATTTAAATTTATTCATAGAATCATAGAATTGTAGAGTTGGAAAGGATCGCAAGAGTCCTCTAGCCCAATACCCTGCAATGCAGGAATCTCAACTGAGGCATCCATGACAGATGGTCATCCAGCCTAGGCTTAAAAACCTGCAGGGAAGGAGAGTCCATAACCTCCAAGGGAGACTATTTCACTGTCGAACAGCTCTTACTATCAGAAAATTCTTCCTAATGTTTAGTCAAAATCTCCTTTCTTGTAACTTGAAGCCCTTGGTTCGAGTCCTACCCTCCAGAGCAGGAGAAAACAAGCTTGCTGCCTCTTCCATGTGACAGCCCTTGAGATCTTTGAAGGCAGCTATCATATCTCCTCTCAGTCTCCTCTTTTCCAGGCTAACCATACCCAGCTCCTTCAAGCGTTCCTCATAAGGCTTGGTTTCCAGACCCTTGATCATCTTGGTTGCCCACTTCTGAACATGTTCTAATTATATTACAGTCATTATTCCATAGAATTCAAATGGCAATGTGTAGGAATAATGGAGACGACGGGAGGTTGAATGCAGGTGAGCTGTGCAGAAGCATGCTGGCAAGTACGCTCCAAGCAAGCTGCTGACTAGCTTTGCAGAGGCTCCTTTTATTAGCAGATGTCAACAATTGGAAACAGTAGTGAAACCACCCTGAACTTAACATAGGTAAAGGGACCCCTGACCATTAGGTCCAGTCGTGACCGACTCTGGGGTTGCAGCGCTCATCTCGCTTTATTGGCCGAGGGAGCCGGTGTACAGCTTCCGGGTCATGTGGCCAGCAAACCAGAGCAGCGCACGGAAACGCCGTTTACCTTCCCGCCGGAGTGGTACCTATTTATCTACTTGCACTTTGACGTGCTTTCAAACTACTAGGTTGGCAGGAGCAGGGACCGAGCAATGGGAGCTCACCCTGTCGCGGGGATTCGAACCACGACCTTCTTTTTTTTTAAGAATATTTTTTTAAAAAAAATATATTTATTAATATTTTCAGAGTATTACAAAACAAAAAGAAAAAGAAAAAAGAAAAAATACAAAGTAAAAATAGTTAAAAACAATTCCTTCCTTCCATTGCTTAGCCTTCATTTGCTTATTTCCAGGACCTCCTCACACCTCCCTTTTTGTATTCCAGTTCAGTTATTAGTTCAACAAATCCCTCCCTCTTTATGTATCCTAATCATTAATCATAAAATATTGTAATTTTAGATTTTTACCTATTAATAAACCATTTTTTCACATTCCCTTATAACATTTCGGCTAAAGACCACTTAGTTTCTATCCAACATCATTCTAACATTCATTAATTTTGCAATATTTCTGTAAATAGTCTTTAAATTAAGAATATTTTTTTATTAACCGACCAATCACATCAAATCAAACCAAATTACATAAATTCCAAATTACACAGCCGACTTTTAAATTTTTGTTGGGGGTCGCCATATTTCAAGTTCCGAAGGGGATCCAATCAACTTCTTGCTTCTTGCTGCTGTTTTAATGTCCACAAATCTAACCATATGATGTTCACAGTACTATCCAGTCCTTTCTTATTGTTTTTCCACATCTCTTGTTATTTTCATATATTTTTGCTTTCTCTTTGTGACCTCTGATAGTCTCCACAAGCTGGTTAAAACAGTTTGTAATCCTGCGTGGATATATATTTTTTTTATCCAGTAGCCATATCCAGACGTTTTCCATATAACATCACTTCCATACATCAAAACAGTCTTAGTGTCATTAATCTTCACCAATCTGCCTCCTTTCTCAAACCTCTGAGGAGATTCACCAGGAATGCAGTCTGAAAACAAGTCCGTTCCTCCTCCCGGCTATAAATCCTTTGGCAAGATGGCGACTCTGAATTAATTGCTGCGCCATTCCAAAAGCTCTTATTCCTTCTCGATCTCCATAAAGCATACATTTGGTTAAAGTTTATCTCCACACAGACCTTAATCATCCTGCTTGGGTCAGTTAAACCGACGGTTCTAATGAGGAGGGGTTCTTGGTAAATCACATAGAAGAAAAGTAAAAAAGGTTCCCCCCCCATTCAGTCCCGTTGCCGACATACCCAGCCTTTGGTGTATCTTCATCGTAAAATATTCCTGTTGCTTCAACCCGTCGTCTTCTTTCGCAGAGGTCCCTTAAATTAGCAGTCTTCACTCCCCTTTTTCACTTGAAATATGTGCATTTGCTTCTTTTGTAATTAATTATTCCAAATTGCTGCAGCTAGTGCGCGATCAGAGACAGCATCCAGGAGAGCCGAGGTCCACACGGGGGCATTCTGCCTAGTGCACTCACCCCCTTCTTTCGAATTTGGGGGTGATTTATGGGCACAGCAGGCATGGCAGTGTTCCCCATTCCCTTGGGGCAACAAGGGAGGCTGCCTACTCCCATAACAGCCTCTTAATTACCCCGTGTGGGTCGGAGAGATGGTATTGTCGGCCATCTTCCAATGCGCCCCTAGTGGCCCCTGAACCACCGACCTTCTGATTGGCAAGTCCTAGGCTCTGTGGTTTAATCCACAGCACCACCCCCGTCCCTCAAACTTAACATATTTCCATCTAAACACATTTCCAGCATTAGCAAATACACGTGTCAGCAGGTGTTTTCCCTCAGATGTTCCCCCCGATACTTGATTACATCTGCGTCCGCGGTCATGCTCCAGCCAAGCATTATGTCTAGTAAACAAATCTGTGAGAGGACAGTCAGGGGAAAACCCCTGTTTTCTAGCCGAGAAAGCAAAAGGTCAGGGTAAGCAGGCGCAACGCTCCTTGACATACTGTTGCATGTCTGGTGTGAGGTTTGCCTTCACAAAGCAGAGCGTTACCTCCACACAATGTAGTGAACTGCAACGTAAGAAATGGAAGGAGCCATAAAAATACAATTAGAAATCAATATGGACGTTCAGTGCAGTGGACGTGCCGTCTCCCTTCTTCAGCCACAAACATACAGACACACAGTTGTCCACCTTGCTAAAAATTTGCATCCATTGCCACTCCCACTTTTGCCTCTGTCCCCACCCACCACTTGCATGTGGCCCTGGGAAGATTGCTTAGAAGGAAATGCGGCCCGTGGCCTGGAAAAGTTTCTGAGTTAGAGGTGAAGAGGCTTTCTCACTCCTGGCTTTGAGATTCTTGCAGACTCTCTGGCTAAGTTTCTCTCCGCTTCCCTCTGCCAGCATCTAACCTATAATTCTGGGTTACTTAAAAAGTGATTACAGTGTAGTTGCCGGCATAAAAGCTGTCAGCTCTGTCTAGGGAGATGATTCCCACCCACCCTCCCCAAATAATTGATATGCTTGGCATTTTCCCACAAGTCCTTTTTGGCTCCCTTGGTCTCTGGCTCTCCCATAAAGCAACTAGCTGACTACCTAAAACAAGAGCAGGGAAAAGAAGGCCAAGATTCCATTAACCATGAGATGGCAATGAACAGGTCCATGTGGGGTGGGCTTGCAATAAAGGGGAGCCCCCTCTTTTTTCTAGTGAAGGCACTGCACTACCGGGGACATAGCTCAGTATTGCCAAATTTGGCTGGTGTTGACTCTCCAGGGTCTCAGGCAAGCGTTTTCCCCATCCCTGCTCTAAGGAAATGCAGAGTTTTTGTTGTTGTTTAGTCATTTAGTCGTGTCCGACTCTTCATGACCCCATGGACCAGAGCACCCCAGGCACTCCTGTCTTCCACTGCCTCCCGCAGTTTGGTCAAACTCATGTTGGTAGCTTCGAGAACACTGTCCAACCATCTCATCCTCTGTCATCCCCTTCTCCTTGTGCCCTCCATCTTTCCCAACATCAGGGTCTTTTCCAGGGAGTCTTCTCTTCTCCTGAGGTGGCCAAAGTATTGGAGCCTCAGCTTCAGGATCTGTCCTTCCAGTGAGCACTCAGGGCTGATTTCCTTCAGAATGGATAGGTTTGATCTTCTTGCAGTCCACAGGACTCTCCAGAGTCTCCTCCAGCACCATAATTCAAAAGCATCAATTCTTCGGCAATCAGCCTTCTTTATGGTCCAGCTTTCACTTCCATACATCACCACTGGGAAAACCATAGCTTTTACTATATGGACCTTTGTTGGCAAGGTGATGTCTCTGCTTTTTAAGATGCTGTCTAGGTTTGTCATTGCTTTTCTCCCAAGAAGCAGGCGTCTTTTAATTTTGTGACTGTTGTCACCATCTGCAGTGATCACGGAGCCCAAGAAAGTAAAATCTCTCACTGCCTCCATTTCTTCCCCTTCTGTTTGCCAGGAGGTGAGGGGCCTGGTGGCCATTATCTTAGTTTTTTTGATGTTGAGCTTCAGACTATATTTTGCGCTCTCCTCTTTCACCTCATTAAAAGTTTCTTTAATTCCTTCTCACTTTCTGCCATCAAAGTTTTGTCATCTGCATATCTGAGGTTAAATATCACATATGGCAGACCCTCCAAGTGGCCCTAGTCTTGTGCTTAGGTCCTACTAGTGGACTTCCCACAGGCATCCCCCTGTAGGAATGATTGCTGGGTTGTGGAGCACACTCCCGCCCGCAGGCAGCCTCAACTGTCTGCATGCATGACCTTGGGGTGCGGAGCACACTCCCCCTCACAGATAAAGCCGCAGCTGTCTGAGCATCTTGCCCTCTGTCTAACTTTTTGCGGTCTCAGTAGTCTGCCGTGTCCTGTCTGTGACCTTTGTCTCCTTCGTCATACACTGTGCAAGGGGAAAATGACGTGGTGGAAACAGGTGCCAAAATAACTTTGTACCACCCCACGATCTCGGGACTGGAAGATGTGTAAAGGTCACAGCCCAAATGTATCTGCCTGAGTTTGCATATTGTGCCAATAAAAGGAGCCTCCACAAAGCTAGCTGGCAGCTTGCTTGTGCACAGCTCACCTGCGTTACCAACTCCTGCCTCATGTCCTTCACTTCACCCCCCTTTCCCCAATAGCTTAGCTGGTAGAGCATGAGACTCTTAATCTGAGGGTCATGAGTTCAAACTCCACGTTGGGCAAAAGATTCCTGCATCGCAGGGGGTTGGATTAGATGACCCTATTGGTCCCTTCCAACTCTACAACTCTATGACCTGGGTAGCCACTGTGAGAACAGGATGCTGGACTAGATGGGCCTTTAGTTGGGTCCAGCAGGACTTTTCTTATGGGCCTCCTGAGGCCATCACCTTATTTTGTATAATGATAGGGCCGGCCCTGAGTTTACACCTCTGTTTACACTGGCTATAATATATACAGTCATACCCTGGGAGCTGAATGCCTTGGCACTCGTACATTCGGGCTCCCGAATGCCACAAACCTGGAAGTGAGTGTTCCGGTTTGCGAAGGTTCTTTGGAAGCCGAATGTCTGGCGTGGCTTCCTTGGCTTCTGATTGGCTGCAGCAGCTTCTTGCGGCCAATCAGAAGCCGCACCTTGGTTTCCGAACATTTTGGAAGTCGAACGGACTTCCGGAATGGATTCCATTTGGCTTCCAAGGTACGACTCTCTCTCTCTCTCTCTCTCTCTCTCTCTCTCTCTCTAACTCTAATGTAGGGAATAGCTTGACACTTCTGAATTGAGATCAGGGATTTTTTTCAGCTGGAACCCACAGGAACTGAATTCTGGCACCAAGCTGTTTGAGCGAAACCCTGGACTTGCCCTACTTTTAAGCAGAGGTGAATTCTTAGGCAGCGGATTTCAGAGCAGAATTAAAAGGTAGCAAATTGTCAGTTATTTAGTTTATTACGGTTTTGTGTTCCCCACCCCTGGAGGAGCTGCCATTTGGATTTTCTGCTCCAGCCATCAAATTGATTGGTGTCTAACTTCTAAAGGCATCAAAGAGCATCAGAAGCCTGCCTGAATGAGAGCATCTTCTTCTCACAACTTGTGGTGGGGTGGAGAGAGAGAAAATCTACGCTTCTGCATCCAGACATTTTTAATTCTCTGCCAAGAAAAGAAGGAATCCTCATCTTATTTTCAATTATTGAATGGAACTAAATGCTCACATTATCACATACTTTGAAGAAGAGTTTGGATTTGATATCCTGCCTGTCACTCCCCTTCAGGAGTCTCAAAGCGGCTAACAATCTCCTTTCCCTTCCTCCCCCACAACAAACACTCTGTGAGGTGAGTGGGGCTGAGAGCCTTCAAAGAAGTGTGACTAGCCCAAGGTCACCCAGCAGCTGCATGTGGAGGAGCGGAGACGCGAACCCGGTTCCCCAGATTACGAGACTACCACTCTTAACCACTACACCACAATAAATTTGCATAATTTATTCAGCTTGTGCTAGTTATGGGAAGTTGCGAGGAGCTAGTTTCACTACTTAACCATTACATATCAATAAAGCAGTTTCAACTCATTCTATTCCATTGGCAGTGGAGTTTTCAGCCATCTCAGCTCATCTTCTATTCCCCCTGGAGTCTGGATCTGCTGCAGCCATCTCTGTCCTGACTTCTTTCTTTTGATCTTCAGCTCTTTCTTTTTTCCTCCAGCAATCTCTATTTCCCCAACGGGGGGAAAGGGTGAGCTGCTGGGGAAGTTGGCAATGTGAGTGACGATTGATGATGACGACTATTTAATTTCTGTCCTGCTGATTAAAAATATCTCCAAAGTGGTGTACAGAAAACTGAAGCAACAACAGACATCTTAAACAAAAGTATCACAAAAACACACAGTTACATATAAATCTGTTAATACAACATGACAAATATATACGTAATTCATTAATAGTTCATTTTCCTTCTGACACACCTTCTCTCTCAGCCTCTGGGTTCTCACCCAGGGTCCAGACAAACTCTCAACTTTCTCTTGCACAACAGTGAATACACCTGTCGCCAGGAAATAATTAAATACTTGATTTCAAACCAATAAATGGCGGGAGAGAGCTGGAGAGTCCTTGTGGCTTGTGGGAAGTCCCTTCTCGGAGCCCCAGTAAGACATCAGTGAGGGCAGAGGAAGCCTCAAAGAGACTGGAGGCACAGGGAGGCTTTGTTTAGGCTGCTCAGCCTCCCTGCCTAACAGCTGGCACGCAAGGTAGCGCAGCAGTGGCAGCTGCTCTCCCTCAAAGCCTCCAGCCCCAGAGTTTCCATTCTAGTCGTGGATATTTTTAAATACAATATTTTGGGTATGGATTGAAGAGGGAGCAGAAGAGAGGGCTTTGAAAGGGTGTTTAGAATGCCCTTCCCACTTTACATGATTTCACTTATGCGCACGGGGGGGGGGGGGACGGGGACGTAAGCCCTGCAGAAGTGAGGAGTTGCCTGTAGCGAGCTACTGGGCTTTGCCATTATGCCGTACAAACATGGATACATGACAGGACCACTCCCAACATGCCACAAAAAAAGGTAAAGGTAAAGGGACCCCTGACCATTAGGTCCAGTCGTGGCCAGCTCTGGGGTTGCGGCACTCATCTCGCTTTATTGGCTGAGGGAGCCGGCGTACAGCTTCCGGGTCATGTGGCCAGCATGACTAAGCCGCTTCTGGCGAACCAGAGCAGTGCATGGAAACGCCGTTTACCTTCCCGCCGGAGTGGTACCTATTTATCTACTTGCACTTTGACGTGCTTTCGACCGTTGGCAGGAGCAGGGACCGAGCAACGGGAGCTCACCCCGTTACGGGGATTCGAACCGCCGACCTTCTGACTGTCAAGTCCTAGGCTCTGTGGTTTAACCCACAGCACCACCCGCCTTCCTTAACATGTCACATAAGAAGAGCCAAAAATCCATCCAGTCCAGCATTCTCTTCTCATCGTGGCCAACCAGATGCCTTTGTGAAGCTCGTAAGCAGGGGTCAGCAAACTTTTTCAGCAGGGGGCTGGTCCACTGTCCCTCAGACTTTGGAGGGGGGGCGGCGGACTATATTTTGGAGGGGGGAAAAATTCCTATGCCCCACAAATAACCCAGAGATGCATTTTAAATAAAAGGATACATTCTACTCATGTAAAAGCACGCTGATTCCCAGACTGTCTGCGGACCCGATTTAGAAGGCGATTGGGCTAGATCCGGCCCCCGGGCCTTCATTTGCCTACCCATGCTCTTAAACGGGGTCCCCAAACTAAGGCCCGTGGGCCAGATAAGGCCTGAGGGACTCATTTATCTGGCCCACGGCAACCCCCGCTGTCCGCTACCGCCGCCCACTCTTACCGGCACTGCGCTGCACGGCTGCCCACTTCTGGGTCGGAGGAGCAACGGAAATAGCTTATGCGCAAACATTATTTGTGCATGCACAAGCGTTATTTCTGGTGCACATCTGGGTCGGAGGAGGCCCATGCACAAGCTATTTCCGGTGCTCCTCTGACCAGGAAGTGCACCAGAAATAGTGTGCGCGCATGTGTATGGGCACGCACTCCCCTGCTCTCCGGCCTGCTGCAAGGTCGGTGCTGGAGACACCAGCCCAAGGCACGGTAAGTTTGCCGACCCCTGCTCTTAAGCAAAAACTGAGCACAGCAACCTATTCCTCACTTGTGATTCCCCAGCACACTGCCTCCAACAGGGGAGGTACAGCTTAGCCATCTTGGGTAGAAGCCACTCGTGCTCTTATCCTCCCTGAAAGGGGTCTGTCCTCCTTACCTACATTCCGAGAGCAGGGAATGTTGGAAGACCAAGCTCTCTTTTACAGAAACTCCCTACCTATTATCCGTCTCTCCAATATTGCCTGATAAGAATTCCTTGGAAAGCAGTTAGAAATCCACGGCTGCAGTTCTTTCCACAACCCCCCCAGCATGCTCACGGAGTTCTCACGAGTCTCAATTTCAGGGCCATTGTGTCCAAAGAAAAAATATTTTCCTCGCTGAAACCAAGTGATTCGTAGTCGGGCAGCCCTGGGAAAGAGCTGGTCAGACTTGGCCTGTGGGGGATTTTCAAGGGAATGTTTGCAGCAATTAAAGAGCTCTTAACTGAGAACAGATTTAGGCATTTTTCTTTCTTTTTGAAAAAAGCAAGACGGAGTTTATTAACTATTTTTCTCCCTTCGCTATTGTTTTTAAACGGTAAATATGGATTTGGCTTTTGGCTTGCTGAAACAGGGAGGCAGGCCCTTTGTTAACCACTGAATTGAACAACAGATGGTGCTTCTATTGGTACGTTCATTTTCAGATGCAACTTTGTTTTTAATTTTTTGGCACTAGGTCAAAATAAATTAAATTTCAATTGAGCCTGGAAACGTTTATCGGTACTTTTGTACAGACGGACTTGTGTTGCTCCTCATGAAAGAGCCTTGATACTCACTGCAATGTACAAAGACCTTTTATGTTGACCTTCTCAATATAGTCCCCTCCAGGTGTTTTGGACTACAACTCCCATCAACCCCTGTTTACTTGTATGTTGCGCAAGAAAATCTTTAATAAAATCTTTTTTTTAAACCCTCCTGCTAGCCCCATGGAATTTCTGGAGTTCCCCAGACAGGGGAAATCAGTGTGTATTTGTGCAGTAAGCATGTGCTTGTGTGTGGCTCCATGTATTGGGATCCAATATTTTCCATGTTCTTAGAGAGCCAGTGTGGCTCAATGGTTAGAGTGTTGGACTAAGACCTGGAGACCAGGGTTCAAGCCCCCACTCGGCCTCACTGGGTAACCTTGGGCAGGTCTCAGCCTGACCTACCTCACAAGGTTGTTGTAGGGATTGAAATAAGGAGATGGATCTCCTTGGAGAAAATGTGGGATATAAATGATTTTTTTTTTTAAAAAAATGCTTATAATCAGTTTCAGCACTGTTATGCCTTGCCTCATCACATGGTACCCTTGGCCCAGCAACTTGGGCAAGGCCTACCACCATAACTTGCTGGTGCACCCTTTATTATTTTTATTTTTGAGGTACTCAGTGCTATGTGGCCAAGTAGCTGCCATTTTTACTTTCCCACTGTGCCTCTGATGGTAGTGCCACTTCAGGGAATTGTGGGGCACTGAATGGGCATCTCCCACCATTGGCGGCCATCTTAATTCCTTGTGGTGTGTTGGAGTGACGCTACTTCAGGGGTATTGTGGGTAAATCAAAATGGCACTCCAGGGAATTGTGGGGTACTGAATGGGCATCTCCCACCGTTGGCGGCCATCTTAATTCCTTGTGGTGTGTTGGAGTGACGCTACTTCAGGGGTATTGTGGGTAAATCAAAATGGCACTCCAGGGAATTGTGGGGTACTGAATGGGCATCTCCCACCGTTGGCGGCCATCTTAATTTATTGTGGTGTGTTGGAGTGATGCTACGTCAGGGGCATTGTGGGTAAATCAAAATGGCAGCTGCCTGGCTTTGATCAGAGAAGCAGCGTCACTGGTAAATGATGCTGTGGAGGCCCACTGGCATAGGAGGCCCCCCAAGTGCCAAGTTCCTTCCTTCAAGGAAGCTGAACCTGTTGTTGTTTAGTCGTTTAGTCATGTCCGACTCTTCATGACCCCATGGACCAGAGCACGCCAGGCACTCCTGTCTTCCACTGCCTCCTGCAGTTTGGTCAAACTCATGCTGGTAGCTTCAAGAACACTATCCAACCATCTTGTCCTCTGTCGTCCCCTTCTCCTTGTGCCCTCAATCTTTCCCAACATTAAGGTCTTTTCCAGGGAGTCTTCTCTTCTCATGAGGTGACCAAAGTATTGGAGCCTCAGCTTCAGGACCTGTCCTTCCAGTGAGCACTCAGGGCTGATTTCCTTAAGAATGGAGAGGTTTGATCTTCTTGCAGTCCATGGGACTCTCAAGAGTCTCCTCCAGCACCATAATTCAAAAGCATCCATTCTTCGGCAATCAGCCTTCTTTATGGTCCAGCTCTCACTTCCATACATCACTACTGGGAAAACCATAACTTTAACTATGCGGACCTTCATAGGTCCTTCATAGGACCTTCATAGTCTGCTATGTTTGCACAGCGCTTTTAAGGGTTCAAAGGGTTTCACGAGCATTATCTGCTATATATAATATTATTATTATCTGCTTGTGATCCCTACAGCCTGGATAGCTCACTTGGTTAGAGCGTGGGCACTGATGCTGCCAAGGTTGCAGGTTCGATTCCCGTATGGGACAGCCGCATATTCCTCCATCACAGAGGGTTGAGCTCTATGATCCCCCCTTCCAACTCTACAATTCTAGGACAGAACTAGCATGGTTTCCCCACAAAGACTCCTGGGAATTGTAGTTCTTTGAAGGAAGTGATAATTCTTTGCCAAAGTCACTTTTGTGTCCTCCCGGCTCCAAGAACTACAACTCTCAGGGTTCCCTGCGGAGAAGCAATTGTTCTTAAGCCAGTTTAACTCTGCAGAGTTGATATTCCCTGAAGCCCTGTTCACACATGGGGCTTTAAACGCACTCTCTTTCAAATTGGCGCATAATATGATTGTAAAACCTATAGATCTATTTGGATTGCAAATGCCTCTCTTGCGCTTCCTGTTTTGCTTTCACAGCGGTCTCGCATTTGCATGGATTGCACCAGAGAGGCTCGGAGGCAATTTAAGCATCGTGTGTGAAAATGCCCCTAAAATTTCCAGAGCACATCCAGTTACATAAATGGCAATTTGGCTCGATAGCGATACAGCTTTCCTCCTCCTCCTCCTCATCTCCCCATCCCCTTTAAAACCAAGACAGAGATTATTTCAACAGTTTTAAGACAGCTGGGAGTACAGGAATGAGCATGCAGGGATAGTTGTTAGGTAGACAGGTATTTACCCAGTAAATAATCTTTCAAAGAAGGAGGGGGAAACCTTGGACCCAGAGTCCAAATGTGGCCCTCTGATTCTCCCTATCTGGCCCTTGGGATCCTCCCCAACTGCTCCCCCACTCCCCCTGAATTGCATCCCCATTGATGGCATGGCTTCAAGTGTGACAGTGCCTGTTCTTGCTTACCCGGAACGAGGGTAGAGCTATTGGTGTGTGAGAGACTGTAGAGACTAGCCTGATTTTCAAAGAAATGCAAAAGTTACATTAATCGTTCCACCCACTTTTGCCTCTAGCCCTGTGCACGTTTAGAGCTCAAAAGTCAGTTCTCAATTAAAATACGTAGTGACATTAAAATACCCTCAATTAAAAGATAAATTAAAAGCAAACAGTTCAAATACATAATGGTTAAAATGTTTAAGAAACAGTTAACACAATAAAACCACAAGTAGTAGTAGTAGTAGTAGTAGTAATAATAATAATAATAATAATAATAATAATAATTTATATCCCCCCCATCTGGGTTTCCCCAGCCACTCTGGGTGGCTTCCAACAGAATATTAAAATACAGTGGTACCTTGGGTTAATTCATTCTGGAGGTCCGTTCTTAACCTGAAACTGTTCTTAACCTTAAGCACCACTTTATGGGGCCTCCTGCTGCCGCTGCGCTGCCAGAGCATGATTTCTGTTCTCAACCTGAAGCAAAGTTCTTAACCTGAAGCACTATTTCTGGGTTAGCGGAGTCTGTACCTGAGGCGTATGTAACCTGAAGCGTATGTAACCTGAGATACCACTGTAGTTGTTTTTCTCTTTGACATCTGGTGGGAGGGTATTCCACTGGACGGGTGCCACTACTGAGAAAGCCCTCTGCCTGGTTCCCTGTAACTTGGCTTCTCGCAGTGAGGGAACCGCCAGAAGGCCCTCGGTGCTGGACCTCAGTGTCCGGGCAGAACGATGGGGGTGGAGACGCTCCTTCAGATATACTGGACCGAGGCCGTTTAGGGCTTTAAAGGTCAGCACCAACACTTTGAATTGTGCTCGGAAACGTACTGGGAGCCAGTGTAGGTCTTTCAAGACCGGTGTTATATGGTCTTGGCGGCCACTCCTAGTCACCAATTCCGCCAAACGTTTGGCTAGACCGGTGTATTTTCAAGAGCTGGCAGAGTGTCAGTACTGATGGGGCTTCTCCTGTTATGAGAGCATGAGGCCTTTCTGAGGTTTCCCAGAAGGGAAATGTGACCCTCAGGTTGAAAAGGGTTTCCTCCTCCTGCTCTACAGGAAATAATGTGTGCCGTGGATCATTGCCTGCTAAAGTGAGTTCCTAAAGCCTTTGCAGACCCTCCAACCCCTGGCAAACCTTTCTCTCTGAAAAGGATATCTCTGGAGAAGAGTGAGAGCAGAGAAGACAGGGAAGCTTGGGGGAATTTTCTTTACCCTCTCAAAGCACAGATCAACCCAACTGAATATTCAGTGGAGCTGGGGACTGCTCAGTCATTCCATCTATCTGGTGATGCTGTTTGCCATTTCAGCACCCCTCTACCCAAGCTGCTACGTTGCGAGTCTTTGGTGATGTTGTATCCCCCCTCCCATTTATTTATTTATTTATTTATTTATTTTTAATGTTGCAATACATATATGAAATCTTTACATAATTATACATGTACATTATATTCGTAAATTCACATTTTCACATTTCATTATGTACCAACATTTATCCATTTCTTATTTCTTGCCCTGTGTCTTCCCTCCACCCGTGCGTGACTTCCTTGTTATCATTTTGTAGCTTTATTATTGAGATTGTAATTTTGTATCTTAATAATTAAATGTTCAATCTTATATATCCGCTTAGCTTAGCTTAGCTTAACTTTGCGAAATCAGTCTATACATATCAATAAATTCTTGTTGGAGCATCTTTTGGTCATGTATTCTTCTACACATTTCCATTCCTCTTTGAGATTTTGATTAGATTGCATTCTAATTGTTGCCGTCATTTTTTGCTAATTCAATCATTTCAAAAAAATTATGTTGCCCATCTTTCAATGTCGGTACTTCTTCTGATTTCCATTTTTTTGCAATCAATAACCTTGTGGCGGCTGTTGCATATAAAAAGATTCTCTTCGTATCTTTGGGGATGTCATTTGTTATAATTCCTAAAAGGAACGTTTCCGGCTTCTTACCAATTGTTGTTTTAAACATTTTTTTTTTTCAGTTCCTCGTGTATATTTCCCCAATTTTTTAATTTTTTTTTATCACATCCCCAGTCTTTGGTGATGTTTTATTTAAGCTCCTTATGGTGTGGTGGTGTGCGTTTTCCTCCTATAGCTTTTTCAAGGTACTGACAGGGAGCTGCTAAGCGGTGCCCTTAGCTGGGGCTGCAATGTTGTTGTTCAAGTCGGTAGCGCTTTTCCAAGTGCAAAACACTTCAACAGACAGCATCCTATTCTCTCACCCTGTTATTTCCTCACCACCAGCATGCCTCACTAATCCAATCATGGCAAGATCTCCTGCGACGCTTTTACGAACATCCCATTGCTTCTGAAGTGCATCTTTGCAGGGTTTGTGTGTGCGTGTGCGCATCTCACCTTGCCACTCACTGGTAACTTTTTTCTCGCGCCCTCTTCAGGGAGTCTTACAATATGGCTGCTCGGGGCCAGCCCAAGACAATTTCCTACCTGAAATGAAGGACAAGAGGCCTCTGCCATTCACAAATGGAAGCCGTCTGGACTGGCAGTTTAATCTTCCTTCAACCCCAGTTTACTGGGCCTCAGAAAAGGTGGTGTTGGCAACAGAGGAGGATGGCTTTGGGGAGCTCAGCGGGAGCAGCTGGAGGCTGCCGTTCCTGCTCATCGGTATTTGCTACCTGAGGCAGTTGTCTCATTCCGCCTAATGGCAGGGCTGGTCCTGTTTCTGTTAGAACCATATATTTTGGTTGTTGTTTAGTCATTTAGTCATGTCCGACTCTTCATGACCCCATGCACCAGAGCATGCCAGGCACTCCTGTCTTCCACTGCCTCCCACAGTTTGGTCAAACTCATGCTGGTAGCTTCGAGAATACTGTCCAACCATCTCGTCCTCTGTTGTCCCCATCTCCTTGTGCCCTTCATCTTTCCCAACATCAGGGTCTTTTCCAGGGAGTCTTCTCTTCTCATGAGGTGGCCAAAGTATTGGAGCCTGAGCTTCACGATCTGTCCTTCCAGTGAGCACTCAGGGCTGATTTCCTTCAGAATGGATAGGTTTGATCTTCTTGCAGTCCATGGGACTCTCAAGAGTCTCCTCCAGCACCAGAACCATATATACCTCGCATTTAAAGAGAGAGAGAAAGAAATTCAAACCCAGCAAAAGGAAAACCCAGTTTCTGTTCCAAGGGCAGCTGATTTATGTAATCTGTATAAACGATGCAGCTAATTGTATTTGCTGCAAATTAATCCGATCAGCAGAGGCGTGCTTATTTGGCATAATATGCTGGCCAACCCTATGCATGTTTACTTTGAGCCATTTCTCATTAAGTGCAATGGCCCATGCTACCAGTAAGTGTGAATAGGATTACTTTGTTGGTCGTGGCTGAGGAACAAAGTGCTACAGGGGACTGGAGCCCCTTCCCTTAACCTTGATTGAAAATAAGACAGGCTGTTTTTGCAAGGCTTTCTGTACAAATCCCTGGGACAAACACTTTTGGAAATGTGACTGCTTGCCATTCTGGGCATCCCATTTTCTAAAGGGCATCATCAGGAACTGAGGAAGATAGTAGTGACGAAAGATGAAGTTCTAGGCCAGGCATAGGCAAACTCGGCCCTCCAGATGTTTTGGGACTACAATCCCCATCATTCCTGACCACTGGTCCTGTTAGCTAGGGGTGATGGGAGTTGTAGTCCCAAAACATCTGGAGGGCTGAGTTTGCCTATGCCTGTTCTAGGCCTAATTGTTAAAAGAAAAATGGAGAAATTGCCAGATCCTAATGGCCTCCATCTGAGAGTTCTCAAATAACTCACATGTGAAAATGCTTATCTTCTAACAAAAACATGTAACTTGCCTCTCAGATCAGCCTCCGTACCTGAGGACTGGAAAGTAGCCATTGTAATGCCAGTTTTCAAAAGGGGATTCAGGGAGATGCTGGAAATTACAGTGAGTGTAACAGCCATCCTGGGAAAGCTGGTTGAAAGTCTAGTTAAAGATAAAACAACCACACATATAGAACAAGCCCTGCTGAAGCAAAGCCAGCATGGCTTCAGCAAGGACAAGTTCTTTCTCATTAACCTATCATCCTTCTATGAAACTCACTCCCACAAGCGGAATAGACAAATTCATAGATGTTTAGACAAAGCATAGAAGATAAATTTATGAATCGCTTCTAGTCATGTCAGCTGTGCTCTGCT